CGATTTCAGCTTCCTGCCGCAGCCGCCGCAGGAGAAGGCGCACGACGGCGGCCGCTACTACCGGGCCGATGATGCCAACGTGATGCGCGACCGCGACCTGGAGGTGGACACCACCCTCAAGAGCCTGAGCCAGCAGATCGAGAACATCCGCAGCCCCGAGGGCACCCGCAAGAACCCCGCCCGCACCTGCCGCGACCTCAAGATGTGCCACGGAGACTGGAAGAGCGGTCGGTGTCCCCGCCCCGGTCCCTGTGTCCCTTCTGTGTCCCCTCTGCTGCTCCTCACCTCTGTCCTTCTTCCCCTCCCGGGTTATCCGCACCTCCCCTCGCCTGTCCTGTCTCTCCTGTCCCTCCTTCCATGTCCCTCTCCTCTTTGCTCCTCTCCTTCTTCCTCTTTTCCTGCTCCACGCTCCGCCCCCAGCTCCCCCCTTGGCCTTCCTCACCTCCCTCCTCATCTCCCGTGGCTGCTCCTCACCTTCCTCCTCCTCAGCATCTCACGTCCTTCATCCCTCACCCATCCCTCCCCCATCCCTCCATCCTCTGCTCCTCACCTCCGTCCTCCATCCCCTGCGGCTGATCCTTCATCCCTCCCTGCTCTTCCTCACCCGTTCCCTCCCGGATTCTCCTTACCTCCATTCCCTGGGACTCTTCCTCACCTGTTCCATCCCTCTGGCTGCTCTTCACCTGTTCCCTGCTGGATTCTCCTCACCTCCATCCCTCTGGCTGTTCCTCAGCTCCATTCTCCATCCCCTGGGGCTCTTCCTCACCTTCCTCCTTCAACTCTCCTGGCTGTTCCTGATTTCCATTCCCCCCTGGCTGTCCCTCTCCTGTCCCATCCTGGCTATCCCCCCTGCTGTCCCCCCTGCCTGTCCCCCTCTCCGTCCCCCTCTTCCCCCCATCCTGACCCCATCCCTGTCCCCTCAGGCGAGTACTGGATCGACCCCAACCAAGGCTGCAACCTGGACGCCATCAAGGTGTTCTGTAACCTGGAGACGGGCGAGACGTGCGTGTACCCGAGCCAGGCGTCCATCGCCCGCAAGAACTGGTACCTCAGCAAGAACCCCAAGGAGAAGAAACACGTCTGGTTCGGCGAGACCATGAGCGACGGCTTCCAGGTGAGCCCGGGCGGCCTCGGCGGGGCTGGGAGGAGTGGGAGGAGGGGGGTGGCCGGAGGGTGACGATGGTGACCGATGTCCCCACCCCGCAGTTCGAGTACGGCGGCGAAGGCTCCAACCCGGCCGACGTGGCCATCCAGCTGACCTTCCTGCGCCTCATGGCCACCGAGGCCTCCCAGAACGTCACCTACCACTGCAAGAACAGCGTGGCCTACATGGACCAGGCCAGCGGCAACCTGAAGAAGGCTCTGCTGCTGCAGGGAGCCAACGAGATCGAGATCCGAGCCGAGGGCAACAGCCGCTTCACCTACGGCGTCACCGAGGACGGCTGCACGGTCAGTGCCGGGGGTGGCCGCGCTGGGGACGCGGGGATGGGGTCGGGGGGGACACCCGCAGGGGACGGGGAGGTGACAGCGGTGTCCCCACAGAGTCACACGGGCGCCTGGGGCAAGACAGTCATCGAGTACAAGACGACGAAGACCTCGCGCCTGCCCATCATCGATTTGGCTCCTATGGACGTCGGCGCTCCGGACCAGGAATTCGGCATCGACATCGGCCCCGTCTGCTTCTTGTAACCCCCACGGATGCCCCACGCGTGACAGGAGAGAGTAATAATAATGATGATAAAAGTAATAATAATAATAAAAAAAAAAAAACACACAAAAAGAAAAAAAAAAAAAAAAGAGCCGGAAAAAAAAAAAAAAAAGGAGAAAATTTCACATGGACTTTGAATTTGTGTCGGTTTTCTATCCAGCGTCTCTGAAACAACTCCGGTTGCGTTGCCGTAAGAGAAAAACCTCAAAAACCCTTCCCCCCCCCCCCCCCCCCCAAAAAAAAAACCATTCAACCCCCCCAAAAAATATAAAAAAACCTAAATAAATGACTTTTTTCAAACAAAATCACCAGGAAGTGGGTTCGCTTGCTTGCCCCCCCTCATTCCTCAGCCCCGGAGATGGCAAAGCTCAGCTCCCCCCAAAAAGGTCCCCGAGCCCCCCGGGACCCCCGGCCCCTCCCCCAGGCCCCTTCGCTTCTTGCATCTCATTAGAATTTTAATTTTTTGCTGTGAGGAAGATGTTGAACTCCTGCCTATAATTTGCTTTTTCCCCCTTTGTTTCCCCCCCTTTCTCTCCCCTCTCTTTGTTTTTTATTTGGATAATGCTGATTTTGAGTTCTCTCGGTTTCCTTTCGTTCTGGTTATTTTTATGACGATTTTTTTTTTTTTTTTTCGTTTCGTTTTGTTCGTTGTTCGTTGTTTAATTTTATTTTTATTCAGGCAGCAAAACCAATTCCCTCCCAAGCGGCGGAGCAGCTCCAGCCCTGTCGGATGGCTACCTCACCACTCTCGGGGTGTTTCATCGTCTTTTTTGAGCCTGAATTTTGGGGTTCTTTTTTGTTTTTTAGCTTCGTTCGGAGCTTTTCAGCCGTGCCGGGACTTTCCTGCCAGGTTCAGAGCAAAGGTGCTAATTCCCCCCTCATAACCCCCTCCAATTTTTTTCTCTCTGTTGTTCTCTTATTTTGATTTTCCTTTGGAGGTTTCTTTCCCTCAGGATTTTTATCCTGGTTTTTTTTGGTTTTTTTTTGTTTTTTTTTTTAATTATTATTTTTAAATATTCTGTTTAATTTTGGCCCCGGAACAACCAAGCCCGGGACCTCCTGGTGCTACAACCTCCAAAGATCTCTCAGCTTGCTCTGCTTTCATTCCCCTCCAGTTTATGGTTGATTTTTTTTTTTTTTTTGCTGCTCAGCTCCACTCGGGAATTTTCCAAAGGTGCTATTCCCCCTCCTTCCCTCACCCCCCCCCAAATCCCGCAAAGACAGAGGCACAAAATTCCAAGGGGGAAAGGGAATAAATCGATTTTCCAGGTTGAGCAGGTGGAACTTCAGCTCCTCTCTCGTCTTCCAGCAGCTTTTTGTCCATCCATCCATCCATCCATCCATCCATCCATCCATCCATCCATCCATCCATCCCTCCCTCCCTCCCTCCCTCCCTCCCCGGGCACAGGGGGGCACGAACCCACTCCCTTTGCCGGGCCCAGCTCCCGGTGGATGCTCCAGCTTTGTACCTAGTCTGTATAATGTATTATATTAATTAATTAATTAATAATTTTAAAGTGGTTTTGGGGTTTTCTTCTTTTCTCTCTCCCTCTCTCTTTTTTTTTTTTTTTTTTTTTTTTTCCCCCCCTAGAAATGGATGATATATATTTTTTTTTTTTTTCTTTCCTGACTGCTGAAATAAAGGCATGTGAAATGATCCAACCAACCTTGGGCTGCTCTGCGCCGCTCTCGTGGGGCTCGGGGGGGGACGGGGTTGGGGGTCCTGGGTGGGCGATTTTGGGAATTCCTGGTCCCCGATCCCGCTCTGGTCCTGGCCGATCCCGCTCTGCTCCCGGCGAGTTCTGAGCTCCGCTCCCTGCCCGTCCTCCTCCTCCTCCTCCTCTTCCTCCTCCTCCCCCAAGAAGGGGGGTCCCACCCCCAGTGGGGGGGGTTGGGATGGGCTGAGACCCCCCAAAAGGAGGGGCTTGAGGGGGGGGATCTGTGTCCCCAAATAGGGCGGGGACACCCTGGGGATATCTGGGGGGGCTCAGCTCAGGGTGACCCCAAAAAACGAACACTGGGGAGTGGGGCTGGCTCAGAGAGACGCCCCCAAAACTGGGGCAGAGGGGCGAGGGGCTGTGCCCACTCTGTGCCCCCTCCCCACGGCCGGGGGACCCGCGGGGACCCCCCCCCAACCCCGGGGCCGAGCCCTCGGTGCCGCCCCTGCCCCGCTCCGTCAATGGCCGCCCTTGTTCGGCGGGGCCCCCGCGCTTTCCGGGGGCCGGGGGGGCTCTCAAAGAGCCTCTTTCTTCCGAGGGGCTGGGCCGGGGGCACCCCGGGGGAGGGGAGGGGTCGGCTCTGAGCGGAGCCTTCAGGCTGAGGGGGGACGCGGGCGGACACACGGACAGCCAGGTGAGCCGGGACGGGGGGGGTTTGGGGGGTCATGGGGGGGCTCTGGGTGTGTGTCCCCCCCTTTTGTCCCCATCCCCGGCCCCCTGTCCCCTCACAGGGCTGGGGGGGTCACTGGGAGCCATCCCAGCCTTTGTGGGGGGCTGCGAGTTTTGATGGGGGAGCTCAACACCCCCAAATATTTATTTGAATATTTATTTGAATACTTATTGGAATACATATTTGAATACTTATTGGAATATTTATTTGAATATTTATTTGAATACTTATTGGAATATTTATTGGAGTATTTATTTAAATAAAGCAGAAAAGCCTCATTCCGTCCCTAAGGACTCAATTCACGCACCAAAACTCGCCCTAAAGCGGGGACACCCCAAATCCTCCGGGCAGAACTCCTCCTCCCTCTGCCGGGGTTTTATCCCCCCAAAAAAACCCACCCGGACACCGCTGTCCCCAGAGCTGTCCCCAGAGCT